ACCGCCCCCCAACCCTCACCAGCCTTCTCTTAAGGAGCTCATAGTCTAGTGGTGAAGACAGAGATTAAATAACACAGAAAAGTAAATGCCCAAGAAATTGAAAGGAGAGGATTTCTGATTTAGGAAGGAGTTTCTCTAATCTCTCTACCCCAGATGGCTCCTTAGTATGTCTTAACCTTATTTCCCTTATCAGTCAATTAGTGGAAAAAAGAAATCCAATTTGGGAGGGAGAGATAGAAAGAGAGACAGTGCCTATCACCTGGCCCCCAAAAAACTATTTAATTAACAGTGTGTCCTGCTCACAGTGTCTCGGAGTTGATTGGTAAAGAAATGAAGAAAGGAAGAAAGCAATCAGTTCCATCTAGTGGCCAATATTGTTATTACTCTTCACAGTACTTTATCACTACCTTTTGTCACCAGAGTTTGTTCATGTTTATTGTTTGTCTCCTCCACTAGAATACAAGTGGGCAGGAACATTATCTATTTTGTTAATCACGAACTCAGCCATGTAGAAGGGCTCCTGGCATGTAGTAAACCATACTAAAAAATTTTTAAACACATGAGTAAACAACTTAATAGTTTATCATCCCAGCACTATTCCTCATGCTTCTCCCTGAAAGTTTAATGTTTGATTGTTTAATATCATATTGAATATTATAGGAATTTGATAGTTATCTAAATTCTTGTACTATTTAGAGTACAGTCTTCTCACTCTCCCTGTCTGTCTCCATAAAGGATTTCTTCATTATTCCTTCTTTATAGACCTACAGAACCTAGTGTTGATTTACGTTCCTGCTCTGGGGATCCAGCTGACAGAAAGGATGTTGTGCTACCAGCAGCAGTGCCAAAAGGACATTGCACACTAGGACAAATTGAAGGAGCAAAGAGCAGTCCCCATTGAAACCCTCCAGGAGCTGAGAGCCTGCAGAAAGCCTGTAAGAGAGAGGCCTCTAAAAGCTTTAGAGCTCCGTCCTGCATGTGAACCAGGAATTCCGGAGGCAAAGTAACACTGAGAGAGGAAACATACCCTTCCTGAGAAGGGCAATTCCTACCAGGTTCTAACAGGGATTCTCACTTGTGCAGTGACATATTCAAACACTATTAGCCAGAAGCCACACATCGAGTCCACGCCTTTTAAAAAATTGTTAAGAGACTGAAAATTTTCTCACTGATTCAAGTAACCACTGCTAATATTAAATTGCTATAAATCCAGTCAAGTGTGCATGTGAATAGACAGACAGGGAGGCAGGCAGATAGATAAATAGATACATAGTTACTCTGGGCAGCCTTTCTGTGGCTAAATGTACAATGCCTATTACTATATTTGAAATATGTAATGTTTGAACAGCTATTATTACTTGGCTGGAAAGCATCAATTTACTTTCACAATACATACCAAAAAATAAAATCTTGCATTTAAAATAACTATATGAGGTTGAAAAATGGACATCTTTTTTGATAAATATAATTGTATATATTTAATGTGTGAAATGTGACTTTATCTCTTTATTATTTTTTAAATGTTTTATTTATTTTTAGAGAGAGAAGAAAGGGATTGAGAGATAGAATCATCAATGACAGAAAAACATGGATCGGCTGCCTATAGGGGAATTGAGCCCACAACCCAGACATGAGCCATCATCAGGAATCAATGTGATGACCTCCTGGTTCATAGGTCATTGCTCAAACACTGAGCCACACTGGCAAATGCGATGATTTTATACACATTCTAGAGGCCCGGTGTATGGATTGGTGCACCATTGGGTTCCATCGACTTGGCCTGTGCTCTCTTGCAATCCGGGACCCCTCGGGGGATGTCGGAGAACTGGTTTCATCCTGATCCCTGTAGGCCAGGCAGAGGGACCCCACCGGTGCACGATAAATCCGGGCCAGGGAGGGACCGTGGGAGGGCTCCAGGGCATGTTTGGCCTGTCTCACCCAGTCCTGACCGGCCTGACCCCAGCAGCAAGCTAACCTAC